TTTTGCTTTCGGTTTCATGTGTTTGCCCTGTTGTTGCTCTTCCTTGTTTGACCTCTCCTCCCCTGCCCACCCCCCCTTTTTTTATTCAAAAGTGCTTTTCAGGACTCTAATTGAGCAAGTACTTAAAGTACTTATTGTGGCCTTTCAGTACTTAAAGTTCATCGGATTAAAGTAATTTAGGTCAGAAAGAACCTCTGGACATCTCTAGTCCAAACCTCTACTGAAAGCAGGGCCAACTAGACCAGGTTGCTTAAGGTCTGTCCAGTTACATTTTGAATGGATCCAAGGATGGAGATGCCACAGACTCTGTAGGCAACCTGTTCCAGTGTCTGAAAACCCTCATGGTGAAAAAGTTTTACTATATCTGTTGGAATTTCTTGTGTAGTGACTTGTGTCCGTTACCTCTTGTCCTATCACTGTATGTCTCCTTCAATAAAAGTTTGTCTCAGTTTTCTCTGAACTCCCATTAGGCAGATGAAGACAGCAGTAAGCTCTCCCATTAGGCTGCCTCCTCTTGTTAAAACTAGACAAACTGATTTCTCTCAAGCCTCTCTTCATATGTCATGTCCTCCAGCCCCCTAATTATCTTGGTGGACCTCCATGGGACTTGCTGCTATATGTCAGTGTCTGTCTTGTGCTAGGGAGATCAAAACTGGACAGAGTTTCCCCAAATGTCATCCTAAAAACAGCCTTTCCCTGACTTCTGCCAGTTGCACCTTTGCTAATACAGCCCAGTATGCAGTTGGCCTTCTTGGCTGCAAGGGCTGACTCGTATTCAGCTTGTTGTCCAGCAGGAGGACCCTTAGGTGTCTTTTTTTACAAACCTGCTTTCTAGCAGTCATCCCCTCACTAGAGGCTGGAAATGTTTGTTAGCAACAGATTCAGTAGAGCTCCCCTGCTCAGCTTATTGGTGACTACTATCAGGAAATTATCAAGACACTCCAGAAATCCCCTGGATTGGTTGTGCCCCACCATACCACCCTTACAGTGGGAACTGGGGTGGTTGAATTTCATAGAATCATAGAATCATAGAATAGTTTGGGTTGGAAGGGACCTTTAAAGGTCATCTAATTCAACTCCCCTGCCTTGGGCAGGGACATTTTCAGCTAGATCAGGTTGCTCAGAGCCCCATCCAACCTGACCTGGAATGTTTCCAGGGATGGGGCATCTATCACCTCCCTGGGCAACCCGTTCCAGTGTTTCACCACCCTTATTGTAAAAAATTTCTTCCTTATATCTAGCTTAAAGCTACCCTCTTTTAGTTTAAAACCATTCCCCCTTGTCCTGTCGCAGCAGGCTCTGCTAAAAAGTTTGCCGCCATCTTTCTTATAAGCCCCCTTTAAGTACTGAAAGGCTGCAATAAGGTCTCCCTAGAGCCTTCTCTTCTCCAGGCTGGACAACCCCAACTCTCTCAGCCTTTCCTCATAGGAGAGGTGTTCCATCCTCCTGATCATTTTCGTGGCCCGCTCCAACAGGTCCATGTCTTTCTTGTGCTGAGGACCCCAGATCTGGACACAGTACTGCAGGTGGGGTCTCAGCAGAGCAGAGTAGAGGTGCAGAATCACCTCCCTCAACCTGCTGGCCACGCTTCTTTTGATGCAGCCCAGTACACAGTTGGCTTTCTGGGCTGTGAGCACACATTGCTGGCTCATGTGCAGCTTTTCGTCCACCAGTACCCCCAGGTCCTTCTCGGCAGGGATGCTCTCCTGATAAGCAATAGGGCCTATGATCATGAGGCTTCCTCCAGAAGGCATTGTTTCCCTCCTCTTCTTGATCAAGTGGTCTAACAAATGCCTACCTCAATAATATCTGTATCCCTACCCTGTGTCTTCTCATCCCTACCATAGGCTTTCAGCTAGTTCATTGCCTATTCCCAAAGCTCTATGCGCTTGAGTCATTGTTTGCATAGAGTACAACCCCTCCTCCTGACCTTCCCTTTCTGACAGCTTGTAGCCATCCATCACAGCATTATAGCTGTGCAAGCTATCCCACCATGTCTCTATAATCCCTGTGAGATGAAAGCTGTGCATCTGTGCATGGACTTCAGATTCCTCATGTTTGTTTCCCATGCGATGTGTGCTTGTGTCCATGCATCTCAGATGGCTCCCCTGTCGTGCTGCTTTTACAAGGGGTGCACGGGAACCCTCCACTATGCTGTCTCCTGAACACTTCCCCTCATGCCTTCACTTGTCTTCAGGCTTGATGACCTCCAACAACATGTACCTAGTTTTTCAGCCCTCCTTGTTAGGTTGGAAAACTAATGGCAAAGATACTCTCACCCCGCTTTTTTAGATGGTTCTGTCTCTCCCCAGCAGTCTTCATTCCTCAAGAAGGTATGGCACTCATAAAAGCTGAATTTCTATCTGTGATACCAGCTGCACAGCCAAGTGTTGATGCTCAGGGCTTTTGCCTCTAAAAAGTGTCTGTGAAGATCCCAGCTATCTCATGTTCAGCCTCCCTGATGGTACACAGTCTGTTCCTCTCCACCCATTGCTTCATACCTGGTGGCTCTCCCCAGCCAGAGCCCACCTCCCCTGCAGGTCACCATCGATCCCAGCCTCAGGGAGAGCCATCAGCCATTCCATGCAGCCCAGCACCCACACAGCAAGATCTTCCCTTACAAGTTCTGTCCTGGATCAAGGTCTCTGGTGTCCCAAGGGCTGTTGATCTAGCAAGTCTTACAGAGCATGCGTATCCCTTATTGTGCAGCCTCCAGCAATTCCCACACTGTCACACGATTTCTGAGCCCCTCTTCCCCTTGCTTCACTAAGTACTGGACAAATCCTACCTCTCTGTCAGCTGCTTCAGTTTGCTCATTTGTGTCTTCATTAGAGTCTTAATGTGGGTCAGGAGTGAGCTTCCAACGTGAATTTCTATCATGGCCACTCGGGGTGCTTCAGTTCACGTTGTGGAGTGGTTACAGAGTAAGCAAGCTGGATTAATTTTGGATGAAACTCAACTGGACTAAGCTAGAAGAAAATCAGACTAGAGTTAGGCTTAGTAAATCATCCAGAAAAAAAATGTTCCAATACAGCTGTACCATCTGCTGATGTAGATATAGGCATAGTGTAAGAAATGGCACCAGAATTAAGTCTGGTACAAAAAGCCATACTTCTCCATTGGATTTTTATGTTGACCTTGAGCAGTTGACTCTTCCTTATACTTTCCACATATGCAGAGAGAAAGCATTATCATATTTCCCATTGGGTATTGACAAATAGCCTACCAAACCTTCTGTCAGACCTGTGGTTCAATGAAATTGGCCTTGACTTGTCATTGTCTCCTTCCCTACTTACGTAACCGGTACTTACCATCACTTGCTGTTCTGAAGAGCTGGTTTTTCTGGGCATAGGAGCATATTCTAACACCTGCCAAAGCATAGAAACAAAACTGGATCTGTAACAGCCTGTCATCTGTGATATAAAAAATGAGCTTAATAAAATCTTTCACAAGGAAAGAAAATTATTAAAGGCAAGGTTCTGGCTTCTATGCCAAACTTGAGACTAGGCGGTATCAGAAGCAATGTTAATTTATTCTGCAGTGGAGTACTTCTGTAACACAGATTAATATTATCTACAACAGATTCAGGCCATATGTGTTCGACTGCATTCTTTAGTATATAACCTAAATGTCATGTAGAGTAACTTTTGGGGAGTGGAATGTGCCCTTCATTCTAAGAGATTATTTTTATGTCAAAACTATTCTGTTTGAATAAAATTTTCAATACACAAGATTTTCTCTTCGTGTTTTTAAAGGCCGGTAAGCAATGTGCATCATATGGGAAGTTGGGGCAGAGAAGCAATAAAGAACAGGGATAGCTGATTACTCTGAATCTGTATTATTTTTAAGCTTCTCTGCTCTTGACTCTTGAGATTGGATCAGGGCTGTAGCTCAGTTTCATGGTTGAAGTGCTTTGAAATCTTAGGAGTTTCCAGTTCCAGGTGGCTTAAATCATGTAACGGGCTTGTGAATTTCATATCTTGGATCAAAATTTAATGAGGATTTCAGCCACAGGCACAGGAAAACTGTTGCTCTTTGTTTTCAGTCAAGCACAAACCCATAGGAGGAACCCAAATGGTGAGCTGTTCTGAGAGATTTTTTTCAAAGTTGGTATTAAAATTTTGGGGAAGCAAGACACTGGTATTAGCCTAATTTGTTGGGCAGTATAAAAGTGGGCTTTGCATCAAAGATCACATCAGTCACATCATCTTAACCATTTCTCCGGCAGTTAGCCTCTCTTTCCGTGTACTTATGCCTCTGCAGCTGTGTTGAGTGACCTGTACAACAGAACGAAGCTAGGAACTAGCGGCTTGTCTGGACCGTTGCAGCAGTCGCTGGCTTTGCATTACACTATACATTGAAACAAAAATTTTGACCCTTTGAAACATTTCAGTCAACATTTTGGCTTGTAACGAGTGAGCCACCTGACTGATGGAGAAAATGAGGCTTTGGGATTTATGTTTAACTGAGGGCCTTTGAGAGGCACAACATCAAGCAGTGCAATTAAAGGTCTAATACTAACATTAGCAAGCAGAACCAATATTTGAAAAAAGATACATAGTTTGGTTTTATCCAACATACTTCACATCACAGAATGATTTTTCATTCAGAAAGACAGGATTCTGTAGTCCTTCAAAGAATTATTATTGCTGTGTCTTCCCTCCCTCCCCAGTGTATTCAGACTACACATTTTTCAAATTTTCTCCTAAAGAAACTTCGTTACAAAAATCTATTTCCTCAAACCATAACCATGTATTTAACATGAAAATAATCCACAGTCTTTTAAAAACATGCTGTTGCTGCTAAAGTAAAGATTAAGGGCATTAAAACTCTTTTTTAACAAGCCTTTTCACTTTTTCAAGTGAAATTAGTAATATTTTTACATAATGCCAGGCTTACTAAATGCAGGTATAGCTATGAAAATTCAGTTACTTAAAAGAGGTGTCAGGAAGTGACTTTTTGATTATTTTGTTTCTTTTGGTCTGCCTTTTGTTTTCAAGGTGGTTCTAGATGTTGGCTGCGGATCAGGAATCCTTTCATTTTTTGCAGTGCAGGCTGGAGCTAGAAAAGTCTATGCCGTTGAAGCCAGTTCAATGGCAAAATATGCGGAGGTAAGTGTTTTTCACCTGAGCCAAGTATTAGAATGGTGTAGAGTAACAATGTTAAAAGATCTAGAACTGTGCCTCAAAAAGGCTGATGCTGAAGGCTTCAGTGTGATTCTTCTAAGAAGTCAGGTCTCTTACGGGCAACACTTTTGGGAAGGTGATTTTTGAAGGTGTTCTAAATGTTTTAATGTGTCAAATAAATAAACCATATGATTGCTCTTTCTGCGAAAAATGGTGAACAGTCAAAACTGATTAAACTTTTTACTTTCAGAAGGGGAAAAAAAATTAAACCAGATGTTGTTTTCATGGGTTCTGTGCAAAAACATTTGTTTGTTTTTTTTTTCCTAAGACTCTTGGACATCTGTGTGATCAGACAATTGAGTTAGTTTCCTGCTAAGTGTGATCAGTGAGGTCTTTCAACCTTCTTACAAAACAGTGTTCTCAGGGTTTAAAAAGGACATGTCCGAAGAATGCACTTAGTTTTAAAAGATATTTTTCAGGCATTGTTTTTACTAAGCATTCTAGTATGATTTAAAAAAAATCTAAGCACTCAAAGTGGCATTGGTAACTGAATGCCTTACGAGAAGTTCATTTCCGAAAAAGTGCTAATCCTAAATAGCAGCAACAGCAAAAATGTCCATGTTTTTTCTCACAGTCTCTGCTTATTTAGGTGAACATCAGAACGTGGGGGGAGAAGTGTGAGCGTTATCGTTACAAATTTTGTCAACACTGATCATCTCTAGCTGAGTTTTAGAATAGTTTTAATGTGGAAAAGGGTGAAAAGTGGTGAAATGGAGGATTTTTCATTCCATACCTAGAAAAAGTTTGCAGTATCTAGATGTTAATTTTTCTTTTTGCTTTACTGATCTAGAATATCAATGTTCATAAGTAACATTAGGAGTCCATAGTTCCTCTTAGTCCAAAGAATGAGCATGCAGGGATGCAGTGAAAGTTCCTCCTGTATGTCCTGATGCAGCAATCCAGCCTTGCTTTTGGTGAAGGCTGGTGAACACCAATTGTCAGCTGTAACATTGGGAAGGAAATTGCTATTGCAATTTCCATTGCTATTGGAAATTGAGATAATCTGTTTAGGTCTTAAAGAAGAAAATGTGGATATAAGACATTTTTATTTCTCTCCAGATAGAAGTAGTGATTAATGTATAAACTCTTTGTATTTTTAATTCCAGCTTAAATACAGGACTCCATGATCTCCCCATATACATTTTGCATTAGCTTATGTATTGAGGAAAAGTGTTGTTTCATACAGTCATTTTCTACTTCTGCCTTATTTGGGTTGCTATTGACAAATATTTTCTTATTATGTGTCTGTTACTTTTGGGATTGGCGAGGATGTACTAGCCTAACTTAGCATATGTGTACTGAAAAAACATTTATATTTTCTTATTATAATTTGAATAGTTAGAAAGATTCTTCACAATTAAAGGGAATTTTTTTCTGATGTCTGTCATTTTGTCAGACCTATCAAAAGCATTAAAAATGTTAATATATGGAAGGTATCTCTCAGAGGGAAGGGTGGAGGGTGGTTCTTACTTCACACAGGATTTTGTAAACAGATACGATTTTGTACGATATGTTTGTTTCATGATAGACAGAAGTTTTATTTATGAAAGCATAATAAAAAGAGCAAAAGCGAACTTACTTTTCCTAGTAGTAGTATAATGTGTAGTAATGACTATAATATATATGGGTTTTTTAACCTTTTGGTCACAGGTTTGAACTTGACTCCAGTCAGAAGTAAGCAAAATCACCAGTTGTGAAACGCACATGCTGCATCTGTAGTGTATCAAATATTGTGTATGCAATGTAAATGTGAATAATATATCTGGCAACTTATTGGTAGAGAAATAGCATTAATCCATTGGTTTTAGAAATTGAATTGCTTTTCTCTTGGGGTGGATGAAATGCTAAACTCTTTATGATTCATAAAGAGGAGTAAAGAACCTTTGATAGATAAAGAGAAGTAAAGAACCTTAAGCAGCTGTAGATACTGGAGAATACTGGCTAAAATATCAAAGTCTCAGTTTGATAATTCATAGATCTTTGGTCATTTTCTTCTCCTTCTACTTCCCCAAATAGGACTCAGTTTTCATAAGAAATATAATAGACTTGTACAGTTATAATTTCTTGTGAAAACTTTTTCACTCATGAACTATATTGCAGATCAGCTAATCTATTAACACGTAATATGTTGTAAGAATTTAAGTTTATTCAGTATAAAGATGCTTAGCCTTAAGGATTACTATTTGTCATCTCTTAATATTCCACACTGGGATTTCATTAGTATAGTTTATCAAGTGTCTGGATTATGAGACGAGCATTACTTTCCATCCATTTCTTCTCTCATTTCTGTATGGATATATTTTATTTTTCATCTGTTTTAGATATGTGTAATAATGTTGACTGTGAGAGTAACAAGTCTTGTTCCTTTTTTTTATTTTTTCTATTTTAATACAAAAAACTTGAAATCAATACAAGGAACTATTGACTGAAGGGAAATTATCTTTGAACAATGCAAATCAATGATGTAATACTTTTTACTGAAAGATTTGTTGGGTTTACAGTAAATTCCTCTTTATGGTTGGAGGTTTATTTTGACAGAATGACATTAAAAATTTAGCACTACAATGCAGTTACCAGAAATCAGATGTCTATTTGACAGTGTTGAAAACTGTGTACTATGTACGGATGTGCAATGGTAGAATATCTGAAAAGTGTGTTGGAGGGAAAATTCATAGCAGCTGCTGTATTAGAAAACATACTGGCTGTTGCTTAGTCACTCATTTATTTTAAATATTCGCTGGAGAATACCTCATGTCTGTGTCACTGTGTTCTGTGTAGTAGTTGGGTGGCTCTTTTATTGGTTTGCAATATGCTTGCATTTTTGTTTTGTTCCATGGCCTCATTAAGCTGTTCAGAAAAGCTAGCCAGACCTGAGCCTCTTCGTTATGGTTATCTGTATGTTTGGCATAATTCCAATGAAGCTCATACAGGTTTACATTAGACAAGTTTTATTTCCATTTAAAGTCAAAATGACAACAGAAGATTAATTTGTAATATATATAATTTTAAAATGCAACTCATTATTACAGTCCAAGGACTGTAATATTTATTCCCCCCTCCAGTATTTTGCTGTTCCCCTACACTGAAAAGAATAGCATTCAAAGGAATTCTGAATATTATTGTCACCTTTTGTTTACTTTCATGTCAGTCTGGTCTACCTATTGGATAATGTCTTTTTCCTAACACAGGCAATAGTTTCTGCCAATAGTTTCTGGCATTTATGTATCCAAGGCTTACCTGCTATCTTTTTTTCCTGTTTCAAAAACTTCAACAGAGGAGAGAGAAACCCTGTGAACCTTTATTGTGACTCTGCACCCGTTTTTCTTCTGTTCTGTGACTCCATGTTTTGGATATTCAGTTGCTGGCAGCTGGCTCCTGCCACATGCAGTCCATGGTAGAGAAAGAAATTTGAAACAGATCTTGTCTAACAAACCAGTTTGTAATAGGGAGCAAACTGCGTAGAGTGAAAGATAGCCAGTGCTCTTCAGTGGTGTGTGCATGAGATGTGAGATGAAAGCAGTCTCAATATGCCAATTTCACTATTGCAGTAAATCCTTTGCCAAAAAAATGGTGAGGAGCAGAAGAAATAAGGCTGAAAGTGGTTGTTGCTGGCAGTTGTTTTGTCTAAACAGGAAGTGTGATTCTAAGCAGCTTATCTAGAACCAAGGGGAAACATTAAAGTTAACAGACTGGAAAAAAACATGTATGTAGAGCATTTGGATAAACAGAAAGAAAGAGTTACTATGCATGAGGAAAATGTGATTGTATTGTGGAGGTCAGCTAGTGATGGGATCATTAAAAGTAAAAATAATTACTTATGGTGAAATGCTTGTCTGTCTGTCACGATATGGGACATGAATAGTGAGTTGTGACATGTAAGATTGCTATTTAATCTGTTGCAATAGCCAAACGAGGGAATTAATTTAATGAAAGACAATTAATCTTGAGTGGACTGTGTTAAGACTCCTGTGAGGGTGCTCATGTACAGGTGTATTCAGTTTGCCTGCAAAACATGTACAGGAATTTAGAAAAGCATTTGATTTGCACTGGGGGCAGTCTTGCAAAGATTCTGTCTCAAGCACCATAATGTTTGCAGTTACTTGCCATGTAGTGTTCGGGTGACTCTTGTTTGCACCTTACTATCTTCTGCACCTATAACTAAACCGCACCTGTTTGTGTTTTCTGTTATTTAGATTAAAAGACTTTAACTGTATTTAATTATGTGGTAAGTTGTCTGCCGTCTCATCTGGTATGTCAGATGCTGTGTGGTGGGATTTATATGGTATGATGATAATGCACACTAAAAAATAAAGGAGGGCAGATTCAGACTAGATATAAGGAAGAAATTTTTTACGATGAGGGTGGTGAAACACTGGAACAGGTTGCCCAGAGAGGTGGTAGATGCCCAATCCCTGGAAACATTCAAGGTCAGGTTGAACGGGGCTCTGAGCAACCTGATCTAGTTGAAGATGTCCCTGCTCACTGCAGGGGGCTTGGTCTAGATGACCTGTAAAGACCCCCTCTAACCCAAACCATACTATGATTCTATGATTCTATGAAAAAAAGGAAAAGAAAACATTTGCAGTTTATTGCCATTGCAAAAGGCAACTGTGTAAAAACCTGAGAGCATATCAGTTTCTCTCTCAGGGAAGATGGGTTGTGGATTTCAGCTGTTAAGCTGAGTACAGATGTATAAATGCTAGGTAGTCACTTCAAAAAACCACAGCACTTGCTGCTGAGAATCTGGTGAAACAGTCATCAGAAACAACACAATGGAAGTACAGAACTTTACAAGTAGATTTCTCCAGACCAGAAAGCAAGCTTTCTTGCAACATTCTTACCTCTAAATTGGAGAGATACGGGTTTGATGGATGGACTGTTAGATGGAAAAGGGATTGGATAGATTTCCACGTCTGAAGAGTTAT